CTGCTTTCAGGTACCGTCTCCCATGTGACAGTGTTCGTAGTTAGGTCTACCAGGTTGCACTGCCTTGCATTTCCTTCTGTACTTCAGTAACACTTCGCGAGTCATATTTTGTTGTTATGGCCAAACTAATTTCGCGGGAAATTAACCTTGAATGAAGCTAACCGTGGCTCTTATTTACAGCTAACTCCCATGTTTATTATATCCCCAGTGAGATCAAAGCCTTCCCTCTTAAAGGGGTGATACCGTCGTTTTTTAACGTGATGCTCCGTGTTAAGCGAGTCCATTGTCACCACGATATACACTGTTCTCGGGTTACGGGTAAAAAAGATGGAATCCAGGTACGGAGGGCAACCGCGAATATACGACTGAGGATGTTTCACGAGGTACAACTAGACTTTGCCGCCAGGTTGGCGGCTGAGCGTGACTAAAATGTAATCACCGTTAAGACAAGGGTTTCAAAAACTTTACTGTCAGCAAAACCCTTCTAAACTTTAAGAGACGTTCTTATCACAGATCGCCAAACACTTTAAATTATGCTACAAATATGAATTTGCCTGGTAAGCAACTATTCAGGTACCTTGGACATCCATGTAAACTATTAGGTGTACAAGAAGAACACATTAGTCTATTACAAACAATTCTATTCGGCAAACCATAAAGAATCATGTGATGACGAGTAGCATTCTGAGAGAACCACAACGGAACACCACAAGCCTGATGCATGAGACATTATTACAAGTTTCTGACGAAATAATCAACTCTACTTATAAGAATCATGGTGAAAATTCTTTAAAAAATCAGTGCGTAAAAGACGTTATTTCTTATTTCTTTCATAATTTTATAAATTTATGTAATCCACAAGAACGTTAAATAAATACAAAACTAAACTGTTGATGCAGCAACAACAAATTCACATGAGAGTGGTTAAAAGAATTAACAGTATACGACAACCAAAACTGACAATGAATAAATTAGAAGCGACTGTTCATATAACAACCACCAATCCACATAAATATAAAAATTAATAAAATAAACAATAAACTACCGATGTTGCATCAGCCAATCCAAAATAAAATAAAAAGTATTAAAATAATAAACTGTTGACACTAATCACTTCTCTAAGCTACGTAAAAAATAAATCGTATACCACAGATGATGAACAATGTCCAATAAAATCATGTCGTAATAAATCAAACGTTTAATAAATCAATACCGGATGTACACGAGCTGTGACGATCTTGTGGGATTAATGAGTCCCTGGACGCCTGCCTGTGACGAACGAGCCTGCAGAGAGATGGGGAGCGAAGTTTATGTACCGGAAAATTGAAACAGATCTACAAGTGACTTTAGAAGAAGCATCTTCTGCCATTTCATACAACAAGCAGATGTCGAAAAGCTCAGTTCAAGCGATAAAGCAGTTGATTTAGACAGCTACTTCCACAAAACACGGCTCTTATTTGAGAAGCTGACAGCAGCTCAACTAGCCCAGAAATTCCGCGCATTTTATGGAACTCTAAGGTTAATTACTGTGCTAGCAAGTCTGCAACTGATCCATATCCGAAAACAGATTAATCCCGTCCACACTCCCACCAGATCTCCTTAACATCCATTTTAATATTGTTCTCACATGTACCTCACTGTTCGGTGTGGTATCGTCTCTTCTGGATTTCAACGAAAATGTATTTGTCATCTCCCCACGCGCGCTACATGCAACATTCATCTCAGCCTCCTTGATTTTGAGCATACTAATAATACTTGTTGAATTGCATTAAGGGTAGGAACACAGGATGAGGGTGTCTGAGAATAAAGTACTCAGAATATTTGGGAAAAAAAGGTATGAAGTTATGGGAGGCTGGAGAGAGTTGCATACTGAGGAGCTCCAGTCTGTACTCTTCATCAAACATCATGGTGATCAAATCAAGAAGGATCACGGAGAATGAGAGGGTCGGGGCATACAACATTTTGGTTGAAAAATCTGAGGAGAAGATACAACCCAGAAGACATGGGTATAAATGGGTTGATAATATTAAAGTGTATCTCAGGGAAACAGGCTCAGGACAGGGAGAAATGGTGGGCTCTTACAAACATGGATATAAAGCTTCAGGTTCCATAAAATGTCAGGAATTTATTAACTACCTGAGGACTATTTAGTTTGTCAAGAATGACTCTGATCCATGGAGTTTGCTATTTAATGGTATTTGGTGAATAGTATATATTACGTAGCTCCTCATAATGAAAATTTCTCTACTCTCCTGTTACTTATGTCCAAATACTCTCCTAATCCGGCTTCAAACACCTTCAATGTGATTTATATTCTGAATATCACGATGGTAAAACTTTTTTCTTCCCTCAGGCCAAGAAAAGTTTTCCCATTTCGCTCGGGATAAAAAACTTTTCTTACACCAAATCCAAAAACTAACTGGCAAATTTCAATTTTCAAAAAATCACAACAGTATATGTTTAAGAATAAATTTTACTGAAATGTTATGACAAAGTTAAATATTATTTTAAATCTGCTCCTGCAACAGTTCAGATGACATAATTTTTACCTGGAAAACATACATTTTGTAACATGGTATTTAAAGTAGCATCTGTGACACTTCTATGTAAATAAGCAGACAAGATAAGAATCACATTTTTTAAAAAATCTTTTGAAGTAAACTTCTGAGTATATCTGGTTCATATCTTGAAAGGTAGAATGAATATCCAAAACTGTGGACTTACATGGTTTTCATCAGTTACTAAAGGTCAATACTGGGTTAATACCTTGGACAAGTCATGACCACTTCCTTCCCAGTTCACTGCACAAAATCAACTCTTCAATTACTTTTAACTTAATTGCAGTTGATAAGGCATAGTCAAATAACATACAATGTAATGTAATTTAAATAAATAGGGTGGGCATCAAAGCGACACTTGCACTATGACAAGCCAGTGATGTTCTGTGTTTCCCAAATTCCTCCAAAGCACAATATCCATCTTATTACAATCTCATGATAATTTCCTGCTTTCAGGAAATTCCTGCCCAAATGGCAAAATCATTAAAAGAATTACGTTACGAAGAGCTCTTTTATTGGTGACGATATTCGAGGCATCCCAGTAGGCTTCCGAGTTCTAAATAACATACAAACTAATGATTAACAATACGGCCAGGTGCAGCTCTACTGAAGATGTCTTTAGTCGATTCAACCCTACTTTCCGCTGGTCCATATGGCATCCACCAGATGGGCTAATAAGCTGCCATAAAATCATGAGAAAAGCACATCTACAGCATTACTCGCAACAAGAGACTTTAATGAAAGAACAGAGACAGAACCAGGATATACTACTACACTCTGAGAAGCAAAGAGAGTGTCATTACAGTGAACACGCACACACATTTTCCTACACCAAAGAAATTCAAGCAACAACCTTCCTCAGCCAAAGTCATAGTAACTGTCTTCTGAGATGAGATATATTCAGTCATCTGTACGTCAACCAAATGTAAAGGAAAATATGCAAGAGCCCATTTGTAAGAAGAAGCCATGTTTACTGTGAAAGATTGATTCTTCATCAAGACAAAGTACAGCTACACAACTGAAAAAAAAAGGAAACAATGAATGTTCTTCAAATATTTGAAATGTGTCAAACCTACTTGAAGTCCAGACTTAGTTCACAGTGACTTAAAACACTCTAGGCCAATTGATAGAATGCCAAAGTACTGAAGATGCTGAGCATGTCAAGAAGTCTATCATCTGACATTTTTAAATCCTGCACAGTGATGGAAAAATAGGAGTAGAACTGTAGAGCAACTATGTAGAAAAATACAGGTGCTAAACTCTTGCAATACATGTACAAAATACATAATGAAAGTATGGTCTGGAATTCATTATACCCCATGTAGCTTCATGCGTACTTTCTTGCAAAATAAACCAAGAAAATTGGTGAATGATCAAATAAAAACTGGTGTTTTAGCAAGAATTTTTATACAACAAAGGACTATAATGCTTACTTTAAAAATATGATCTAATATATTCATTTCTACATAGTACTTATTCTCTTGTTCCAGTCATCACACCCTTACAAACATATAAATAATTTCATATAAATATATTTGACTGCAGAATGACAATGTTTTTTTCAGAACATTTAACTACTAGTAAGGGTAAGTTCCTGGTGCTTATTAAGCCCCATACCAGAGAGACATATAGGGAATAGATATAGCTCCTCCCATCCTTGACCTCAGCACTAGATGAAGGTGAATGGTCAGCTTTATGCCCTATTTGATTACAGAAATACTAAAGTAGACTAAAACAACCAATACTAACATTAGATATTACTTTCTTCACTTGCATGCTAATATTTACAGATCTACATGTGATTAAGTATATAATAAACTCCATGCTTTGAACTTAAAGTACTATGTTCCATTCAAAATTAAAGATTGGTTATAGAAATGGATAAATAGTAATAATCTACATTTAATATCCCTCATGCAAAGAATCACCATTATATACTGAGAATTAAGAATAACAGCCAAATTTGTGTTAATTCTTCACTAACATGGAACAAAACTAAATAAATTGTGTAGAAAGTCTGTTAAAGAATATCGTACACAACGTAATAATACCAACTCACTCTTTGCCATAGCTTCCAGTATTCAACTAGCTGGACCAGACTACAGCCACCTAAAACACACAAACAATTGGAGTCCAAGCTTCCTTAAAGGAAAGAAATTATTCTCTAACCAATGAAACACGTGAATGGGTGTTCAGTAAACCACCAGATTATAGGAATAAAAATACCTGTCTTTCAAATAACTTTCATCCTTAATTATGCTCATATTTTAGTTATTTTTGCTTCAAAAGTTTTCTATATGCAGCCAAATAGAAACTTCTGGCACAGTCTATGATTCTAAGCATATTTTGTAATTTTCAGTTTTTTTCAATCAAATGCCAGGATAGTATTTTACAGTCCACACTTATTTGTACTTCAGTGTCACCTCGACATAGTCACAGTCCATAAACCTAGTTAACAGAAGTGTGACATAAGAAAGCACACCACTACCCACTCTTTTACTCAGACTCTGCAATTGCCACATGAACCAACTCAGTTTAGGAAGAAGTCTTGGAATCATAAACTTCCACAACTAACACACCAGTTCAAGAATTCTCTTTCCTTCACAGAGTTTCCATATTTTGGATTTGAAGCACACTGATTTGGATTACCAAGTTCTTTTACTTTGTCCATCATCTGGTATTCTAAAAAAACACATTTTGAATAATAGATATATTTTCATCCTCAGGTGTAAGAAAGAGGGGCACCTAATCTGTATGGTTCATTAGAAAGAGCTAACCTCAATCACTTCCACCTGAGGATGGAAACAGATATGGTTTTCAAAACATTTGTGTGTTTCTTAAAATGCCAGATAACAGATAAAGTCCAAAAACTCAGTAATTAAGATTGTAAAATGCCATCATCAGAAACCCTTTAGAATTAAAGCATACTAATGTTGTTAAGATTAAGTACAGTCTAGGTATTCCTTTCACAACCACATATCCCACAGAATCACTTAAAATGTTTTTAAAATTATTGTCATCAATGAAACAAAGTTCAAATTCCATACACAAACTGCCTTTGAATTGGGCAACCAGGGTCTTAGTCCCATAAGGTTTTATGACTGGTAATATTCTGGAATCTTAACATGCTGCCATAACCAATGGGAAATATACAGTGTTTTGTCTAATGTTTAAAGCATGATGCTGAAGATTCTTGTCCAATATCAACATTTAAGTTTATATGCTATCATAACATGCTGTTCCAGAAACAAATTTACAACATGGTGGTCACATATATAAATTTCTGAAGTAGGTCCTAATTTATAGTTAGCAGACCTAACAGAACATTCTAATGTGTGATCTGAAGCTTTCATGGCAGCTAAGTATAATGAATTCATCTTGGGCTACCAACTTCATCCTTGTCTTCAAGGTACCCCATGAACGAGGACAAAGATGGTTCTCAAAATGCTGGTGTTTTCTCCATTAAACCATCTTACACGGCTGGTAGACCGAGAAGAATTCAGTAAAACATTCTAACAGTCCCTTAACTTACCAATAAATTCTGGTTTTATTTACAGTTCCACAGACCTCTATATCGACCTACTGAATCTAGCCAATTTATTGTACAGACAGATTGTTTGTAGCATATTCTAATCAAGCAAATAAAAAATGTATATGTGCAAACAATAAAGCAGCTATTGAGTAGGACTGGTCAGGTAAGGTTATGATGTACAGTGTCTTAGACGGTGTTGTACTACACACTAATATAAACAAATTCATTTTTAGCATACCCGACAGAACAGACGGAGAGAGCTGTGCCGTCCATAACATCAGCAACACACTTCTGAACACACTACACAGAAAGAATCCTGCAACACTACATCACTCCGAAGGACCAGACTTGAGACATCAACTTGTCAACCAGCCTTAATATTATAAATACTGAAAAGAGATACCCCAAGAGTTTGTAATTATTCTGCAAGCAAGCATTAATTTAAATGTCCATTACAACAGCATCTTTAATCATAATACCGAATGAGAAGGAAACTACACAGCACCACTCCTACCAGACAGCTGCTGCAGGTGACAAACATCTGCGATATATGCATACCCTAGCGGTTGGTACTCACAGCTTCGTTGCAATCGATATCTCCATATCTCGTCGACCTATCGACAGTTAGAAATTAGTCCCTTCTCTATTTCCAACCTGTGGTACGCGAAATGGTAAGGGTTCGCAAATGCCTTAGGTCCTACACAGAAAAATATATTGACGACAGATTTTATATTAATGTTTTTGGCTGTTGTGCTGTGTATCTTTGTTTCAGAGAAATATATGGCATTCTATTTCTTTATATGCATACCTACATGCATTTCTGCACCCATGATCCTTTGGTTTCTGTTATTAGCATGTTATAATTTTTACTTCCTAGACCTTGGAGAGGTGAACCAAGTGGGTATGAGAAGAAAACATTACATTATGGGAGTATTATTGTCTGCATCTTCATCTAGCGTGAAAGTCAAGGTGGTCAGGACTAAGAAGTCATGTGGGAAATGGGACATTTACAAAAAGGTATTGAAAATTCTTGTGGTGAGACATTTGGGAAATAAAAACATATATGAAAATACATTGTTAGAATGGATCTAGAGGAGACAAGATTGTTAGGATGTACCAAATTGAAATGGCTCAGTATCCTGAAATGGATTACAAAAGTTCTGGTGGTACAATCAAGAATAAGGTTCAATCTGAAAACTGTATCACTGACCACAGTTAAACCAGAAAAATCCTGTTATTGTATAATTAAAAAGTGAAAAATTACTAATATAATTTTTATGGATTTATATATATATAAAATCATTTATTCCAACATTATACATTAACAGATGGGAGAAAAAAGTTCTATAGTTATAATAAATTCACAATATAATATTTTTAACATTATACTGATGCAATAACCTCAATGATGGAACTGTTCTATTGGTACACTACAATAATACTTGGCCTGTAGCGAAAACCCCTCAAAATACAGGTTCTACATGCAAATGACTGCTCAAATATGAGAACTAAAATGTTATAAGAGTCATCTAAACCAGAAAACTATAGCATACTAAGTCACAAACATGAATAAATCTTATTTCCAGTTTTACTATGACCACAACATTTAACATTGAATTTCATTAACATGGACACATTTCCTGATTTAATGTGATACTAAGGAAGTGTTAACATCTGTAAAGTTTTTCAGACTATATGAACTCTGCTTTGCAGATTCTTTATACCAACAATTAAAAATTCTTAGGAACACACATTAATGATGCATACACATAAAACGGACAATTCAATACTAAGTTAGTTTTGTTATGCACGTGGAGAACCTCTGATGCAGGAAAATGAATGCGTTGCCATCACCTGACCTGTCGGGCTATATTTGTTCAGACAGAACAAACTTATTTTGTCACTTATGTGGCAGAGACTGCATTCAATTTTCACAAGGCTCCTGCCTAATTAATACAATTAAATATCACATAAAAAATTTTACAAATACAAATGTGACAAATTATATACAAGGCTAATCATAACATTTAAACATTTTATAAAGCAAAACTCACTACATATAATGGCACCTGTGGAATGTACTTAAATTCCTCTGGAAATCCCAGCAGCAAATTGTTTGAATTACAGGTATTAATAAATTTGCTAAACTGGTGATTTTAATTCATGAAACAATGCACTGCTGATTTAATTTTCACATCCTCAAAATCTGATTGCCGATCCAACTTCTTTACATCACCAACAGAAATCTCAAAGATATTTCTAAAAACTTTACAGGCAATATTTTGTTTATGCACAGAACTGCACGTTTTCTTAATGTACATTATGAACAATGAATATGTAGATAGACACAAGGGTTCTGGGATTTAGTAATCTGCACAAACGGTCCACTTCCTCTTAATATAACTGAAACATTTGAATTCAGCTGGACAGATGAGAATAAGTCAAACTCCTGTACTTCTGTATTCAGGTCACTTTCTCTATCTGTCCGGTCAGCAAACTCAAACCCTACTGCTTGGCAAAGTTTATTAAGATGTTCTGGTGACAGCTGTGGAGAACAGTACACTTCCCAGACTCCGCATGTGTTGCGCAAAACTTTGCCAGTGTTGCTACAAAAATAACGAGGAAATTAATTAAAAATTTTGTATATAATTGTTATTAGTATATTCATCCTTGAAAATTATGTTACAATAAGAATAAAACAGTCTATGCTTAAGAGATAGAAAAAGTGGGCTGGCACATCTAAACTTACATTTATTGCCACTTTTCAGGGTTTTATAATTTTCCACTGTCTGTAGTGGAAGAATCCACAATAAAAGCTACTTATTTTTCAAAGAGAAAACTTCAGGAATTTATGATAAATTGCATTAGTGCAATTTGCATCTTACATGTTCATATGGCAACTATCTTGAAACTCTTGATTATGAATTTAAAATTAAAATAAATATGACCCTTAACAGCTTGCAGCACATTTCACACATTACTATGAGTACAAAAATATTACAGTAACAGCTACTGATATGCTGTTTAGATATCAATACATAATTTAATAGTATTAAGCTCTCATGTCATGAACTGGGCTGAGCAATTTGTATTTTGAAAGGAACTAATAAATTGACTGTCAAGAATGACAGGATAATTTAAAGCAGTAAACAAAGAGTCATACATATTATTCATTAAGGTCTAAAATCCCTAACAATATTACCATGGCAACTAATGTAAGAATATGTTCATAAATATTTTCAATAAGGCCTAAAATCCACATACAGCAAGTGATCACCAGCCAACCAAGACTTGCTTATTACAAAGATACAGTAGATTCCTTTATGTTTTTTATACCACGCCTCTCCAAATGCTTACTTTGAATGTTCATCCAACAGAAGGGACAGACAGTGTTTTTCGTCTTCCCCATCCGGACAGTCAGGCTCACCGTCACAAACAAAGTCCTGAATTACACACTTTCTTGACCTGAAATCAATAAATGTTATAATTATATCAGTGCATATTAATTATTTATGTAATCCAAATAACACTATCAATCCCTCGACTACTTCTGTATTCAGTGGACAACATCAGGCTGAACTTCACACTGTAAATTCATGTACATATACAGTGGTCCCACCTAATCTTTAACCCCCATGACAGAAGGCCACAGCAGCAGCAAACAAATTACCAGGAAGTGATTTAGTTACAATGCAAAACATTAGTAGCAGGTGGATTCTCAGTCACGTGGAACACACTTTATAATATAACTAACGGAGTCTGCTGGATAAGCTACAAAAATTATTAAATTTCTTTTTGTCTTCAATAATAATAATATGCAACATTACTTCGTACATATTTTCCAGTCTTAGGTTATACATATCTCTGAATATGTGTAAATGAACAGTAGTTCAGAATAGGTGATAAACATATCTTCGCATGTCTATAAAATAATAAAAAAGTGTGAATCACGCATTTAATGCTGTCTTCTGACAGCATGATTTTGATCCCTTCCTCTGATAAGCGAATTTACATATTGTTACTTTCTTTTTTCTGTCTTTACTTAAAATTACCCAAAACTGACTCTTGAGTTAAATAAGTACTTGCCATAGTTGTATAAATGATCATGGAAACTAATGCTATCAAAAGCTTAAGTTTTATTGCATTGCATTCTTTTAATGTATAAGAGCTTCGCACACACATGTAATTCCAAACCAATTTTGAATTTATCAACAATTTTGTCATTATATTTAGAAACTATTTAATAAATTTGGTGCAAATGACATGGAAACATTTTTTCTTTAATTCAACCTTTCGAAACTAGGGTAAATATATTAAAACAGACAAATAGAACACGTAATATTACCTTTCACACTTAAAATCACTTTCCTTACACTGGCAGACATCTGGGTTCTCATCAGACTTGTCTCTACAGTTTCTGTGGCCATCACACACACGTTCAGGTGCTACCAGACGAAGATAGTTTGTACAGTTACAAAATTCTGGCTCATCACTCCCGTCAGAACAATCCTTATGGCCGTCACAGAATGATGATTTATCAACACAGCCACCATTATTACAGCGTAGCTGGTCCAATTTGCATTGTGCTGTAAGAATTTAATCTTCACTATAATTCTTATTATACTTTACTACCCACTTCTCAGCGACAGACTTGTGAGGAATTAATTTATACCCATCTCTTAGCATTGTTATGGTCTCTACAACATAGGAGTTGACATGGACTAAAAATAAAAAATGAGTAAACAAGATACGTATATAAAATCTAGTATGGGAACTGCGTAGGAAATATTACTCAAAAAATAATATGCAGAGGTAAATATATATATGTACCTATACATAAATTGAATTCAAAATGAGTTGGCTGAGAACCCAGCTATGAGTTTTGTAGCTTATTGATGTGGAGCTGCTATTTTTATTGTCTATCAAAGAATTGGACAACTTGAAAGATTCAGTTCAAAATTATGTCAGATTAGTGTTATCTCTTGCCAGTATACCTATATGTGGACAGCTTCATTACAAAACATATTCAACTGAAGGATTTATTGAATAAAAAGTTTAGTAATAGTGGACTTCCTTACCACATTTATTCTGATGGCATTGACCGCAGTAGGTTGAATTCTCATCAAGACCATAATGGCAGTCAGGATAACCATCACACACTTTCTCAGGTGGTAAGCATTGTCCTAATGGGCACCAAACACCACTGCATGGTGGTACTGGAGCAGAATCAGCTCTCTTTTCTACAGTAATAAGAAGTCAGACATACAGAAGTCACTGTAAATTCTACTGTAACAATAAATGGCAGAAACATTTTGGAAAGACACACATAGTCATTTATTTATTTAAACAAAACTTTTGGGCACAGTTCATGATGATTACTTTTCTTAAGATGCTTAAATAAATATGAAGAAGCAACCAAGAACCATAAGTATATGATTACATAATTTAATAATATATTTTGTGTACATGATAACTGTTAACATGTAAAACATGTCTCATATAGAACTTATTGTATGTTTATGATGTATTTCTGAGAAAAGATTCATATGCCCACCTCCAATGTTTCATTGGTATTGTTACCAAACTAAAAACTAAACATAGATTTCACATAGCTCCTTTGTTGCTTTACATTCTGAAAAAATACTGCCTTGATAAAAGTTGCATATTTCTTAAAGATGCAGGGGAAAAAAAACACTCATGAATCTAAATGAAGTGGTGCTAATGTCACTCCCATCTCAGAAGTCGGGAAAATCACATGGTCATGATATACCTTATAAAGCAAAGATCATTTATCTAAAAATTATGAAAATCTAGTTCTTATTATACTGTATTCACAAAAATTATAGTTTTATTCCATAAATGTGGTTGCTATACTTTACCCATAATGCTATGCAGTGTATCTAGGTTCCTTGTAATAGCAGTGAACTCTGTGGTTTTTTGAAACCCACAGATACCATTAGGTTCATGAAACACAGCAGCTGGGTACCAGCCAACATCTGCATGGCACACAATAATACCACTCCATGGGATGTTCTCATTGTCCTAAAAGAATGATAGCTTGAAAAATAAATGCCATTTTCAGCACCAGCAACATCATTAAGAGATCAAGTAGAGCCTTTTTCACCACAAAGAACAATCATTTAAGCCAGCAAAAGAAACTCAACTACACAAGAAATTCCTCACATTTTATGGAATCCAGAAGTCCATTATCATCTTCAAAGAAGCCCACTACCAGTCCTTATACTTAGCCATATGAATCCAATCAACACTTTCCAACCCCATTTCCCTAAAATCTACTTTAATGATATTTTTCCATCTATACCTAGGTCTCTGAATGGTCTCTTCGCTTTAGGGTACCCAACCAAACTTTTGTGTGCACTTTTCATATATCCCTTGCTTACTGCATGTCCCACCCACTTCATCTTCCTTGATGTGATCATTGTAAAAATATGTGGTGAAGAATATAAATTATGGATCTCCTCATTATGCAACTTTCTCCATCTTCCTGTCACCTTACCCCTCTTAGGTTATACTCCTCAGCACCCTGTTCTTCAACACCTTCAATCAGTGTTCTTCCCTTACTGTTAAAGCTCAAGTTTAACAACCAAACAAAACAACAGACAAAATTGTAGTTTATAAGAACCCCTCTTCACTGCAATCACAGAATTTTAAGAAGTATTCACATCTCCAACTTTGTGTTGCTTCTTGGTTGTAAAGTAGTTTCATTATGTCAGTAGAGGCAACAGGAGGATAAGTCAATATTGTCATTTAAGGGCAGATTTAAAACCTTTATTTTTTTACTTCGTATCTGGCATCAGTGGAACAGCTACTTTTAAGAAAAGTATGAGAGACAACTGTTCCTCATTTGTGGTACATAATATAACTAATAACTGTTAATACTAAATTCTGTAATTTTAATATTATTTTACAAACACAACATAATTCTGTCATTATCACTAGGTTCAACTGAGTGATAAGATATATTTGGATGAGTGAAATGTTCACAACTTTTATTATTAGTCAAGACTGACTCAAAATTTAAAATAAAAATTATAAATTAAATGTATTGCTTTCCCATCCTTGAAATTCCCAATTTTAATGCAAAAGTGCATCCTAATTTAAGTTTAGTTGTCTCCAGTGAGGGTCTTTCAGTCTGAGAAACATGACAACATTTCCAATGGAAGGGTGCACTAACATAATCGTGTATGATTTATTAAACTGACAACAAACATTTGGATTAATCCCAAACTACATTTATGCAACTACTTTTCACAAAAACAAATTACACATTGTATTTTATTATGCTGTAGCAAGGTGATCCAAATTTTTTCTTCCTTCAAGCAAAAATACTCTTCCTACTGGATCCAAGAGCCAAGATACCCCTCCCAACACCTTTATGGAAATTAATAGCCAATTTACATTATCTTTAGCAATACTCATTTAGAAATTACAAATTATATGCTCAAATATAATGTTATTGAAATGTGCATAAATTACAGCAAGGCAGGCTAACTCATCACACAGACCTACCTGACAAGTTGTCTTTGCTTTATATTTTCGTCTGAAGCATCGCTGTGTTGGGTCACAACCTGACAACACTGGTTGTAGGAATACAGTGCTAGTATCTCCTGATAAATTTCTGCCAACTGCAATACATGTCTCTGCTTCTGTTGGATCTTTGTAGCTGAAACAAAGTAAATCATGGCCTCATATGCTATACTGTCACTTAGTCAAAGCCAGCTGTGGAACATTACATTCAGTAGGCTGATGTACTTTAATGCACTCTCTTGACTCCCAAGTTTGCTTAGTCTCGGAATGATACCCCATCCCACATAAATATGAACAAAATAATTATCTTATTTTCTACTCACATATCAATATTTTCAATTTATAGTTTGCTACCAGTATTGGTCTTTAAGATAGGAAAATGACATCTCTGGAACTTGTTTTCCAGTTCCCAATGAATTTCATCAGCATATGACAAAATTCAGTCAAGATCTGTTGTCTCATCCACAATGTGACAAGTTACTAAGTCCTGTTCTAAGAGTTAAAATATTTGTTAAATAAAGACAAAAGTCATACATGAATGACATTAAACAAATGATTTCATTACTATTCATGTAATATAATGAAATTTTCACTTGTGGAGATTTTTTGAGAAACATGTCAAATCCAGTTTAATTATGGATGACAAATTTAAGTTGTCTTTCCATCCATACAGATATAAGAATGTCAATAATCTACTCCATGGAGCTGATAGAAGCTGATAATCTTTCAGTTGGTCAAAACTTTGCATGTTCATGGAATCCAAAGGTTTATTATTATATTTACAAGAGTCAACCTTTGGACCCTATCCTGAGCCAGATGAATCCAGTCTAAACCCTCACATCCTATTTAACATCAGTTTGAACATTATCCTACCATCCAAGAAACGTTTTATGGGTACACTTACAAGTGAGCCAGACCAATTGGATGAACATGACGAGTGATATCTACTTCAGCATCTATTCCTGGATCGATATGTAATAGTAGCACATCATTGTATGGAACTGTCTTCATAAAGTCCACTCTTTGGACTATCTCATATGGACTCTTAGTTCTCTTGTCAATTCTTGGTACACCTAAAAGAACTGCTACATAATATTCACTTAACCTGGAACATAGAAATGTGAACATGTCTGATCTGAATACAATTAAGGTTTCCAGATTTTTTCTGAAAAATTATGTACAATTTACATGTGGTGTACTTAAGAGCTATAATGCTCCTGTCAGTCACAGATTTCAATTAATTAATATAATGAAGCAATTCACTAGACACATGACACAAACTTGTGTCATATTTTGAGATTGTATGCTTCCATTTTCCCCAAAAGCCACAGAAAAATAACAAAACCTTACAAAATATGTTTGCTCATACAATATTTGAACCAAGCACCTCTAGAATACAAACAAAATATTGTAAAGTTAAGAATTCTTAGAGAAAATTAAATGTAAAGTAGATAAACATGAGACTACATGGCTGTAATGTGAGAAACATTTTTATATACATATGTATAAGTGATAAGTAACACGTTTCATCCTATACGACTGATATTTCATGAAAGCTAATAGTGTATTACCATGTTCAGAAAAGAACACCACTGGACCCTATCCTGAGCCTGATAAATCCAGTCCACATTCCCACACCTTAATTCTTTTAGATCCATTTAAATATTATCCTCTCATCTATGACTGTCTCCCAAATAGTCTCTCCCCTTAGAATGTTGTATGCACTTCTCTGCTTTCCCATGCATGATATTTTACACTGCCTATCTCTATATTCTTTGATCTTATCACCCTACCAAATTTACTAAAACAAAGAAAATTAAGTTGAGACTTCTCTTTTTTGATTTTAACTGTTATTTTATGGTAATAGGGAATTTAAACCCACATTTTACATGGCTGCTAGATGGACTTTTTAACAGCTTAGTAATATGCCAGTGTGACATAGAGACAGCTAGATTAAGAGTAGGTAGTTCCGCACAGGTAATAAAAGTTAAAAGTGTAGGGTCTCTGAACATGCAACATATTGAGAGCAGTCTATTGATTTGATATATTCTAATTATTGCTTGACATGCAACAATCTCTAAGCACTTACAAAATATTCCCCATGGCTACTGCATCAGTCAACAACCAATGGGAGTTTAGCAGAATGGCTGCACATTTATATTCTCCATGTACATAGACTGCTGCATGCCATGGCCATTCATATTCCTGTCTTGCACTTGAAAGTGCATGTAGGTAGAAAGCAGATGCACCACGCAGTAACTGTGGCCAGCACTCCACTTCTAAACCGGTACAGAATTTTGGTGGTAAAGTGTCCTTGGTAACATTAGAGCTGGTTATGGCAGTCAAAATGTCTTCAGTGCTAGTAGAGACATTGTAAGTTTGGGGTGATGCTACTTCCACCAGAGCATCATGCTTCACTGTAATATCACTGAATGAACTGAAACTACTGCAAAACAAAGAAATAAATAATTAGTAGTCTGGTAGTACATACATTTTTTTTATCATTGTCTATGATCAGCTTGACCGCCGTGACCCCTTTCAGGGTTTTCTTGTGAAATTACTACGGTGGTCTCACCTTTCCTTCCGTGGCCAGTCTTTACCCACCAGACTGGAAGAGGAGATGCGGATAAACATCCATGCCTTGAGTGGGACTCTAACCCACGGTCACAGCAGCCAGGAGCATGAGGACCATGCCTCAGACCGCGTGGCCACTGTGTCAGCATACATTTTTAAACTAGATTATAAATAGAAAACTGTACCTGTGTCAGTACAGGACTGAATCATGAAACTGATAAAATTAAGTCTAAAATGTTCAACACGCGAGAAAGTTTCAATTAAAATTGTAGTATGATATATACAAGATTCTATTTTTTTAATTGCTGAAAGCTTTATCTGTTAATTGTGATCTGCTAGGTTGTATTGTAGGATTAATCTAGTGAGAAAGGACATGATATAATACAGATGGAATTAGAATGAAGTTCTGAGATTACAGATTTGGGAATATTATGGGAAATTGTATGCAGCAGTGTCCTATATACCATGGATGTTACTTTTTGAAAAAGACTAGAAAATAACAAGTTCAATGACAAAAATGGCAGACATTATAATGTGCTCCTTCCTCAGTTTCTTACCTGTAACCAAGATAGATACATATGTTTGAAGCTAGCACTGTCTGATCCATTGCTTCTGTCACACACATTGGTTCCCATTGCCCATGAAGACTAACCGTGAAAATTCCTTTTGATCTGATATGTGAGAATCCGTCTGCATCAGTCTGAATGTTGAATCCATTTGTTAGTGCAACTGTAATGAAATAAAGAACAAGTAAAAAGATTTACAAGATGAATATGATGATGACTACAACAAATCCACACATTTTAATATCTGCCATTCTCTCATGGTGCTTCACCTGAAATGCTGTTATTATATCTTATTCCGAGTCCTAATAGAGTTTAATTTAACAACAGTTTCTAAACTACAGATGTTATGGAGTCAAATAAGAAGATAATTGCAAAAGGTACAGATGGTAGTGGTTATGGCATATTTTAACGTTTTATCCTGCCATTTTAGTAGAGAAAACTGAAGAAAACTCTTGATCAAGAATCAAACCCAAGATGTCCCAAATGCAGAAGAGGAGTTTCACTTACTCAAAAATAATGTTCAATGGACTCAAGCAGAAATATTCTAAAATATTAATCAGAATACAATGTATATTGGTGGATGGAATACAGACTAAAACACCTCTTTTTGGCATTAATTTAGTTCATAGTTAAAAGTGTTTTTATGGAGTAGAGTGTAAAGTATGAAAAACTCAGTATCATGTAAATGAGCATGTTTGCAATAATGGTACATTCCATCTTTATGTTTTTACAAGATTTTAGAGATTGAACTAATCCCATGGTTCAAAGTCTGATATCATTTCTTAACATCAGCATCAATTATTTGAAGTGCTGTTCTACTGTACATCACATTTTAAAATGTATACTGTTCATCTTTGCAATAACAGAAACTGAAGGAAATGTAAACTTTTTTATTCATATTAACTGAACCAATTATATTACAACCACAATACCAAATCAAATGTACTAATAATCTGAAAGCAGCAGAAGGGAATTTGAAAGTGTTATAACTATTAGATTAGATTAGATTATCTTCACAAAAAATATTCATCAGATAAAAATAGAGTTGCCATATTTGGGTATCGTTTATATTAAGCCATACTTTCAAATTTAGAAACTGCTAGATACAAACAAGAATCAAAGGTATCTTACAACAGTCACGTTCATCTTCATTTTCTGGACAATCCACATGATGGTTGCATTTGTAGACAGCTGGAATGCACTTCCCACTCCTGTAGCAATAAAATTCATCCTCAGTACAGTTATCTGGAAGAGGCCAATAGTTATCATCAATTTCATGCTCCTCATTCTATATATTATGTAGCACACAGAACAATATAAATGACAACTTAGGAGGATGGACACAAAGATGATACAATAAGTCCATGATTAGAAAATATATGAACATATATGTTATAAGTAAGCAATAAAATTAACGGCATTCAACAAATTAAAATGTTTCTATGGGAAAGGTCACAATGCAGACAAAATAATGTATGTTGTAGATTTCTGTCCTCTGGGTTGCAGTGCTGTATACCCTGGTAGAAGTTTACCAACGTTTCAGAGATGTTTACAGCCTCCATCATCAGAGTGATGATGGAGGCAGTAAACACCTGTGAGACATCATGGTGACAGCAGAATCAGTAAGCACCTCTGGAATATCAGTAAACTTCTACCAGACTATACATGTCACTACAAACCAAATGACAACAATCTACTTAGTTGCCATCATCATAACCCTAAATCTAATGAAATAATAGATACTGTTTTCTGTCAACAATACATTAATTGACCCTACTTCATCTATCACTTTATATTTAAAATAAGTGTTTGTAGAGGATTTCTAGACAGCTATGGACTGCCATTTCACTTACAACAGTTTTGTTCATCTGTACCATCTGCACAGTCTAAATAGTCATCACATACAAACTGTGGGCGGATGCTAAGCAGCTCATCTAGGCACGTGCACTCTGTTTCATCAGACATATCCTCGCAGTCCACCATGCCATCACACATCCTTGTCAATAAAATCTTCTGTGGAAGCCTGATAACATACCATTCCTACATGTAACTTATAACTGAATAATTAATACATTATCCATTTCTTTAGCATGATTAAAACTTTATTTAAAATATAACAATTTTTTCTCAATTCTGTGCCTTCTTTATGGTAGTTTATGATTTTCTCAAATGTGTTTACAAAAAAATTGTCTTGGCTACATGGTTTATGATCTGTTGATACATTGATCCAGTCAGTATACCTAATGAATATTTAACTTGTGAATCAGAAGCTAAGAAAAGGAAAACTGTGATTGAATCAGTATTAACTGGATGTCACAACTGTGTCATAACTGCACACTTTTTATGTTACCACTTGTTTCATATTAAATTTTCTAAGCATTGATCTTTAAGCTTACTGTTTGGGTCAAATGTAAGTCAGGTTTATAACTAATGTTAAGTTTGAAAGATCCAGCAGTTACACATTTCTAATTATTATTTACTAGTAGTACTTACTAAATACAGTTTAATAACTTACACTTTGCAATTAAAAGTTGAACTGGAAGTAACATTCATTTCATCACTGGAAGGTGCATGTGTTGAACCAGATGACAAAAGTGTTGAACCAAGTGTTGAAGATTTGGATTCAAACACTTCAGTGACTGAAATAGTCATCTCAGATTCATAATTTTTGTTCAAAGGCACTAATGTAGTAACATCTGCAGCATATGTACCAGCAGCTTTATTGATTTTCAGTTCTATAGACTCTGAAATTCCAGCTTTATCTTCAACTGCATTTATGTAAGTTGTGGATTTTAAAGACTGTTCAGTTAAGTCTGTAAAAACTGAGCCTTCAGTTGTAGCTAAATCACTAACAGTACCAGTTACTGTCAATGATTCTGAACCCACAAAACTTTCAGTTAAGTTGATGTATTCATCAAGAATTGAAGCAGCTGATATAAACCCTAATTCAAACATATCTTCTTTTCTTGTTGCATGATTTGGTATGGTTGCAAATAATAAAGATTTTGCCTTTCTGGCTGATTTGACATTTGCTGTAGAGTATGAATCAGAAGAAATGTCAATAACTGTAACTGCTTCTGTTGGTGTCATATCATTAAACACTGACTCAGCTTCTCTTGTATTAATATTGTTCAAATGCATTACATTAATAAACTCATTTTCTCCTTCTGTTACTCCATCTGATTTGGTTTCTTGTCTGGTTAATTCATCAGGTCGAATGCTAGTTTTCATTGTATTATCAGATACTGTATTGCTCTGTGCTGTACTTCCTGGCATAGTGCTACTTTGTGTTTCATGAGGCACTACATTGCCTTGTATTTCATCATATGATACCATGATATCTTCTGTCTTGCTATGAGACACGCTACTTTGTGTTTCATCATAAATCATTGAGTTTCCTGGTACTTCACCAAACAATATTATTTTGCCTTGTGTTTTACCACTAGACACTGTGCTACCTTCTGTTTCACCATGAGACACTGTGGTACCTTGTGTTTTATCTTCAAACATTGTGTTGCCTTGTAATTCACCATAAGATATTGTGCTGCCTTGTGTTTGACTCTGAGACATTGTGTTATTTTGTGTTATTTCTTCATGTGTAGTATCACTCTGCATAACAAAATCAGAAGTTTCATCAGTCTGAATTTGATCATCAGTTATATTTTCTGGTTTTATTTCAATAAAAGATGTGTATGTCTTTTCTGTATTATGCGTTAATAATTCATCTGCTGTAGTTTGTACTACTTGCATGCTTTCAAGGGAATGAATGTTGAATTCTGGTTTCCTATCATAATGACTTACATTAGCTTGACCTAACATTTTCTCACTAGGAAAATCAATTAGTGAAACATGTTTATCGTTAGATAAATCTCTGGTAACTTTTTTGTGCAATAGTTGTTTTGAGTTTTGTTTTATCCTGTGAAGTAAATCCAATTTATTTTCCATTATTTCAGAACTTTCAGTTGTATTTGGTACTTCTGAATGCTCATTACTTGTTCGATTTTCTACCATTTCTTCATTCCATCCAATAGACTGTATGCCAGTAACTGGAACTCCTCTTTCCATTGATAGATTGCTTTTTCTTCTTAGCAGGATTTCCTTTTCAGACTCTCTTCCAGCAAGTAAGTGTTGTTTTATGTCATGAACAGTCTTTAATGAAGGTGGTGACAAGGACTGACAGTTCAGTTCATCTTCTGCATCAAGACAATCAACCACTTTATCACATTTCTTTCTTGCAGATAAGCAACGGGTGTTTCCCACTGAGCACTGTAGTCCAGGACAAGAGACGTGAGAAGTCTTCATTGGGAGATGACTTCCACCTAAAATACAAGTATCATGCATCATAAAATATTGTTCAGTACCTTCAAATAAAAGTTGATTATTATGTTAGAGCTTGTTTAATTTCATAGATGTAATTTTTTATGCACACAATTAATTTTTATTTTGATTCAGGTCTTCCATACCTAACCTTTATGAAAGTTTGATTAAGATCATGACATTTGTGATGCACAGTATTGCCTAGTAACAATTATTTTGTTTCTTTCCCTCTTTCCTTCTGTTTATTCTGCCATTCCCTTTTACTATTTAAAAACAAGTTTGAAGTATTTTTGGATCATATAGCAATAAACAAACCTCCTACTACACACACACACTTTACTTTCTTTCTTATTTCTTTTTACGATAATGTATTTAACACTTTGGGGTTACGGCTTAACCAGCTTGAAAGCATAAAAAGATACTTTTAGTTATCCTGAAAAATTAATACTGTAAATGAGTAATGATTAAATGAGATGAGTGAATGCAATGAGAAATTATATTTCTTGAATAAAGATCCTAGTTTCTTAGGAAATACAAATGAACAAGATAATGGTTTATTCTCAAGCTTACTTGCTTTCTCTGTAATCCAGTTTATAAACAATGAAACTCTGGTATATGCTCCAGGCTCATTTGGACGAGCACAACCTTCCCCATGGCTCACAATACCAGCAACATACCACTCCTTTGGTTCCTTTTCATGCCTGCAATATATCAACATTTTAATTATAATTTTGACAATTTGTGTGTAGTAATTTACATTTCTAATTTGAACATTTCTTGCATAAAGTATACACAAATAAAATTAATATACAAGGTAGGGACTGTCTGTTTGGCTACCTATCTACATTTAATCTCTGAATCTACTGATTATTCTAATGATATTTGGAATTTGGGACTACAATAGGAGTTAACAGGGGAAATTAGTATCTGTTAGTATCAGTCCAATATAATACTCACTTCACACCAAGCTCAAACAGAACTTAATCAATTTTGTTAAAATTGTTCCATGTACAAAGAATTTGTACACATCATAAGTACAGACCTTAATAGACTCTACAGCATTCATACGGAACATTCATCAATATAATCCATATTTTACAAAATATAAAGAAAAATTATTTATGACCTTTTAGTACAGTATCTAATATGAGCCGCTTTGCTATGATAGATTAAATACATACTTTATCAATAACTTTATTATTAAGATTTCAGATATATTAATGAATAGGTAGATAGGAATTCTGTGAAATGACCACAACCACTTCGATGTTTATTTTCACACCTTTCCATCTGCATTCATCCACCAATTTGCCATGAGGTTGTACAAAATCACTGCATAAACCAAGAAACTGTAAGTGGTATCATCCAGTATAATAGATGTGAACATTACTTAGCACTGTTTATATGTATTGTAAGGTTTCTTGAAATACTGGAGAAAAATTAAATTAACCACTCTGCTAGTATTTGGAAATGGTGAATTTAAATAGTCCAACAAAGGCTTCATATTTATTCTAAAATTAAATTGTACTCACCTGCAAAGAAGAGGTCCACCACTGTCTCCTTGGCAAGCATCTCTCCCACCTTCTTGTACACCTGCACAGAGCTCTAACCCTTCATTGTCTTCTCTGTGCTTGCAACTTGACAGGATGGGTACCTCCACTTCTTGCATGTGATCAGCTATGAAATAAACACACAGCAGTATAATATTAATAGTAAATTGTAAATGTAATTGGTACTGGTAAAAGTAACTTTTGTCAGCACTACCACTAATGAAGCCACAGTTTGTTTATATCATACAATAAAATTAATGTAAACAATAAAAATATGAAATATAAACATACAACTTCTTTATTCTCTCTATATAAGTAAGCATATATGATAATTATATCCTTATTATAACACACACTTTAATAAAACTTTCAAATAAACAGAAGTGAACTTGAAAATGGCTGCCTTCTGGGATGTTGTGCCTCTGTAAGTTTTTCCTAACAAACACAAACTAAAAATAATTCATTTGTCTTGATATATTAATGTCACCAGAGCTTATAAATACTGTTGTAGTTAGGGTTGCATTTTAAATAGAACTCAGAACCTATAAAAAATATTATGCCTATGAGACTTTTCAATTCTTGTGAAGCTAGAACACATCTATTCTTTCTCTAGTTTCCATATATCACCGACTCTCTTGATTACTAACACCATGGAACATATCTTTCTTGGTTAAGTTAACAGTAACTCAGCCAGAGAGAACATCTCTCATATTTTATGGAGGAATCTACTGATTATTCTAATGATATTTGGAATTTGGGACTACAATAGGAGTTAACAGGGGAAATTAGTATCTGTTAGTATCAGTCCAATATAATACTCACTTCACACCAAGCTCAAACAGAACTTAATCAATTTTGTTAAAATTGTTCCATGTACAAAGAATTTGTACACATCATAAGTACAGACCTTAATAGACTCTACAGCATTCATACGGAACATTCATCAATATAATCCATATTTTACAAAATATAAAGAAAAATTATTTATGACCTTTTAGTACAGTATCTAATATGAGCCGCTTTGCTATGATAGATTAAATACATACTTTATCAATAACTTTATTATTAAGATTTCAGATATATTAATGAATAGGTAGATAGGAATTCTGTGAAATGACCACAACCACTTCGATGTTTATTTTCACACCTTTCCATCTGCATTCATCCACCAATTTGCCATGAGGTTGTACAAAATCACTGCATAAACCAAGAAACTGTAAGTGGTATCATCCAGTATAATAGATGTGAACATTACTTAGCACTGTTTATATGTATTGTAAGGTTTCTTGAAATACTGGAGAAAAATTAAATTAACCACTCTGCTAGTATTTGGAAATGGTGAATTTAAATAGTCCAACAAAGGCTTCATATTTATTCTAAAATTAAATTGTACTCACCTGCAAAGAAGAGGTCCACCACTGTCTCCTTGGCAAGCATCTCTCCCACCTTCTTGTACACCTGCACAGAGCTCTAACCCTTCATTGTCTTCTCTGTGCTTGCAACTTGACAGGATGGGTACCTCCACTTCTTGCATGTGATCAGCTATGAAATAAACACACAGCAGTATAATATTAATAGTAAATTGTAAATGTAATTGGTACTGGTAAAAGTAACTTTTGTCAGCACTACCACTAATGAAGCCACAGTTTGTTTATATCATACAATAAAATTAATGTAAACAATAAAAATATGAAATATAAACATACAGCTTCTCATTCTCTCTATATAAGTAAGCATATATGATAATTATATCCTTATTATAACACACACTTTAATAAAACTTTCAAATAAACAGAAGTGAACTTGAAAATGGCTGCCTTCTGGGATGTTGTGCCTCTGTAAGTTTTTCCTAACAAACACAAACTAAAAATAATTCATTTGTCTTGATATATTAATGTCACCAGAGCTTATAAATACTGTTGTAGTTAGGGTTGCATTTTAAATAGAACTCAGAACCTATAAAAAATATTATGCCTATGAGACTTTTCAATTCTTGTGAAGCTAGAACACATCTATTCTTTCTCTAGTTTCCATATATCACCGACTCTCTTGATTACTAACACCATGGAACATATCTTTCTTGGTTAAGTTAACAGTAACTCAGCCAGAGAGAACATCTCTCATATTTTATGGAGCCTGAAGGTTCATTATCATATTCACAAGAGGGTGCCACTGGATTATTCTGAGCATAATAAATGCAGTTCACATTTTAAAATTTTATTTCATTAAGATTCAGCTTAATATTATCCTACCATCTACACCTAGGGTTCTCATGAAGTTCTCTGCTTTCTCTTTCCATTTATTTATTAGTCTAATATTTAGTCATTATTCAGTCAAAAAGCCAAAACTCTTTTCAACATAAACAAGATAAACTCTTAAAGAATCCACAGCAATGTTTCTAAGCTAAAATCATGCATGTATACACAGACACATTCTAGAAATAATATGTTTTACTTCAGGACTAAAATACACATTGTCATCACATGATCTAATTTAGTTCTCACAATAATTATAATAACCATAATATTTAAAACAACACCAAGAAAGAAAACTTACGATCAGGGCCATGTTCAACTGTGGCACCCCAGCCAACAGCAGTGCAGATTGTACCAGCAGGTGGACCCCAGCCTTCAGGTGGCAAGCAAACAGGACGCACCCAGCGATTCAGTTGAAGTGGGTTCTTCAGTTGCATTAAAGCCAGGTCATTCTTCATATCAGAGCGATCATAGTGATCATGCAATACGATATGCAAAACAGTCTGTGTTTGCTCTGCTGGTGAAAATGAAAAGCGCCGCAGCATCCCAGCTTGCACCTCAAAGTAGTGCTTGCTAAAGCTGCAACACAGTTTTTTCATGGTGAACTTTCCAATTGAATTCGCTTACTGTAAAAGGTATAAGGGATACATTAACAACAAGAAATAAACTCAAAATTCTTATTTCCTATTTATCCTTTCTATATGCAGCACATGAGATACTTTGTACTTTATAAACTGAATAACAATATACTTTATACTTTAGAAACTAAATTATAATAAGTATTTTATGAATTTATTCTCCTCGAAATTTCAAAGTGAACAATATTATATGTATTTGTTTTTTCAATCCCAGATATTTAAATTCTGCATACTTTCTATGACCTGTCAGGGACTTTACTTTTGTAACTTATTTATATATTCAAAGTTTTATCTAAATTTCTAAGATCAATTTGTTAACTGGATTACAAATAATAATAATAATAATTAAAGGCTTTGTGTTTTGTCTTAATAATTAATGTCAACAGCATGTCAGTACATGTCTTTGGTTCAAGCCATTCAATTCCAAAGTTTTTACTTTTCTTAAGCATTCTTCATATCACATTCTGGACACAAAAAACAAGCACTGGAGAAAAGCATATTTTTTTACTCAGACTACTGTCAACTGAAAATGATCAAACAAATGTTCACCTCCACAAATTTCAAGCATACACATATCAGTTAACTTGACAATTCTATCTGATATGACAAATTTACAATATATATATATATGAGTGTATTAATTAAAATAAAGTATAGAATGACATAATAAAGTTTCTTACCCATCAACACAATGAGCAGCTGTCATAACCCATACTTCATCAAGCAAAACTCCACCACAGTGAAACTCTCCATCCCTGTACAGAGCCACAACCCATGGCCATGCTGCAGGTTCACTTGCCTGACCCCCTACAACACGGCCTTCTTCCCTAATTGGACGTTGTTTATTAATGATGTCTTCTCCAACTAACCCAGTTACAAATGGTGATTTCACTGTAGTCATTGTACTATCCCTTCCGCTTTCATATGATTCAAAACCTTTCAGTTCCACAGACTTGAGTACTGCTTCATCAGCAGATCTAACATATCTTTGTGATATCTTCAGATTTTCAGAATTATTTGTGGTACTTTTATCACTTTCTGGTATTTTCAAGTCAAAATTCAATAATTCACTACTGTCATATTCATTCTCATATGATGTTTGTTGTGCAGGCTCAACATCAGCAGAAGTTTCTTCAGACAGAACACTAATCTTTTTCAGAATGTTTGAGGACAATGCAGCATAAACAGAATTTTTTATAATATGTTTGTTAGTAAGGAGAGTACTGAAGTTATGCCTTTTGAACCTTGAAAGAAATGATTCTCTCTCCTCAGCAGTGGCTTCTTTGGTTCCAAGGTGAATCGGAATACGAGTACCACATGGCATGATAGAGCAGATTACATGCGCTACTTCCTGTTCAGGACAACTAGCAACTAGCCTGAATTCACCATCTGCATCCACAGTCAAGAATGGGCCAAAATAATCAGAAGTTTGTTTCTTTCGCCGAATTATTGGATCACTGTAATTAAAGAACATTTCAAATTAATACATTACCTTATTCTGAAGATCTGAATAGTTATTTCCTCCAAGATCACAAAGATGGTTATCTTCTGGGCTGTAGCACCATGTAGTCTGGTAGAAGTTTAACAACATTCCAGAGGTCCTTGCTCCCTCCATCATCAGGGCAATGAGTGACCTCTAAAACATTGGTAAACTTTATCAGACTACACAGTGTTATAACCCAAAAGACAGCCACTTTCATACTCACCACCATGAGAAACTCAGAACCTAATCAGCCTTACCTGGTTAATTGTCCAACTTCAGATTGACACACTGCAACTGCCCATTCCTTAATTCTGCTACATGTTGGATACCACTTTCCTCGCCAGTTACGATGCAAGAATCCACTGGTATATGATACAGGAAACATCTAAAATATAATGATTTAAGAATTTCATGTATTACAGAATAAATGTCTTCTTATTCTTGGCTTATCAAGTATTATTGCAAACCTCAACCACTGACACTACAAAACAACTGCTGTGAAAATTTTTCCGTCCCTAAGTACCACAACATGAAGGCATATTAGGGAAGTGGAGGTAAATATACACATATGCTTAACCTGAGCACATTATAGAGGCAAGTGGTCAACTTCACACTCTGATAGATTTAATTATGAGGAAAGAGTCCCTGGTACTGAATAAGAGGCTGAGTGCACACCAGAGCTAGTCTGGATGTTGTGGTTAAAATAATTTCCATCCCACTTAGCCTGTAGCTAGTAAAATGTTTATTAATTATTACAAAAATGTCAATAAAAAGGTTACTTGTAGAACTACTTTGACATAATAACTGAATAAATGATGAATTAATTGTAATCTAATCTTCTGTTGCTACAACTAAATATTCGCACAAAGATATTTCAGTTGAAAGCTATCAGTCTTGGACAAAAATATGACATGTACATTTTTGGTACTGATATTCTCCTGAAAAATGTGATTTTATGATAACAGATGACAGTACAGTTAAGTATGTTTCAGTTAAACTACTAATAGTCTAAAATTATTCCAGAAGAAAGAGGCAAGGTGAAGCTTCAAGTAATTACATTTGGACGCTATATTCCATGCATATTATTAATTTCTGAACAACTCAAAACTGAGATATTAGAAAATATTTAGTGTAGTGAATATTGATGGCTCACATGGTGATGTGACAATCTTTCTTCTAGTAGCAAACAATCCATTTCATCTCTACCGTTGGGACAATCTCTTGTTCCATCACAACGCTGCTCCAAAGGTAAACATGTAGTTACCCGAAAATGTCGATCCCAATCTTGACAGCTGAATGATTCCACATTACAACCTGAAAAGACATTTTCATTACCAGTAGACAAAGAGACATACGTCATTCAATAAATCAGAAGTAACTATTTTTCTGCACCAGTAACCCACCTACACCTCGATATTTTTCTGTAATAAATGTATCTCATGTACCAAGCACAAATGTTGAATTATTTGTGACATAATTTTATAATTAACTAACTACATGCAGTACAATCCTTCTGGCCTTAGTCACTGTCAGTCATAAAACACAGGGAAAAAAATTAATGTGGAGTCTATATTAACTATAAGACCTGCTACTGTTACTAAAAACAATGAGAACATTTATTATCACTTTCATGACAATCAAAATGTATTCTTAGGTATATACTTATTACGAGTATTGCCTAGAACAAGAAATTAAGTTATTTAATTAAATATTATACACTTCTGTTTCATGCATTTTATACTAATTTAAATAATAAGCTTTTGTTTTTGCAGTGATGAACGTTATGATTCCTAATAGGTTAGCTGAGTGTGTTTATTTTAAGTTATATAAAATAATCTTTTCAAATACTTACCAAAGCAGCCAAGTTCATCTTCACCTTGCGGACAGTCAAAATAGCTGTCACACAGTCGGTCCTTATCCAATCTTTCTTGACATGTGCAGTCACTCTCATCACTGGTATCATTACAGTGAACAAATCCATCACACCAGTGTATCTCTTTTACACAAGCTGAGCCATCCTGACATGGCACATTCCCAGATGGACATTCCCCTGAAACAATACACAAAATTATTCTCCTCTGTGTGGAAAGGGATTACAGCCTACTGGCCTTTCTGGTAAATTTCTCTGCCAGAGTTTCTAATTTCATTTTGACATTTGATAGTACTAATTGGACTGGGGGTGGGAAGGAAGCAGCAAAAAGCCTCTATCTGCACAGGAAAATTCAACACAGAAAGAGACAAACATTGATGCCCTAAGTGGGATTCAAATCCATTATCTCCATGTTTGAGAAACCAAAGCCCCCACCGTAGACTACACAGCCACTGAGAGCAGCACTGTGCTCTAATAGGAATTAGTTTGGAAAGAATTTCAGAGAGATAGAAGTGAGAGCCATGTCTTTGCTGAACATGTCTGTTCATATTGGAACTTGTGTAGAGCTCATGATTTTCTCAGTGCAGTTTTGGGAATGGATTACAATTCAATTTTGTACAAGTGTAGTGGCAGCAGTACATTACATTTTATTGTGTGGGGGGAAAGGCAATTTAAACCCCCTAACTACGGGATAGCCAGCCATGTGTCACACTAGTATACTACCAGACTATTAACATTGGAATTTAAGTCTGGCCATCAGCCCTATAGTACAGCATTTAAATCCTGTATTCCCATAAAATGAAGGTTAAATGTTCCTGTCTGTATGTTATTTTTGATGAATTTCCTATTGCCTTAACAGTGTTATGTTAAATTTTCTATGACTGTATCAATGTTTTTACCTGCTTCTTTTGGCTGTAAATTCAAAAAATTTTCAGCATTAATTTGCTCATCTGAGAATTCTTGCCTAGCTTGAGTGTTTGCTGCTTGCATACGGAAATTTTGTTCCACATCAGTTTCACCATGATAGAAGCCAGCAGGTGGAGGTGGTTGTATTAAAATAGGAGAAATCATAGGTGCACAGTAGAGATATTGCTGAGCTGAAGTGCCCCCATCCTCTGACTGTGTGTAGTGTGTTGTCAATATTCCAGGGTAAATAAACTGGTCTCCGGGACCTGTTGGATAATACAACTGAGAACCCATGTTATAATCATTATGCCGCTGTTGCTGCTGCTGCTGCCGCCATTGTTCCCATGTTGGAAAATCATTAGACTCGATCTCATTATCACTATTTGTAGTGAAAACGTTAGAATCAGCAGGTATTCTGTAAACACACATTGGATATGGAACCCAAAATGGTGGTACAAGAACAGCTGGTGTATATGCAACATGTTGACTAGCTACAACTGACTTATCTGCAACTTTCTGACTGCTTTCAACAATCTTATCATCAAACTGTTGGCCAATCTTCATGAACTCATCCGTAGCTGTGTTTCCAAATTGTGTGTGTGCTACTACATCCTTATTAAAGCTGACAAATGGATGGAATGTAGATGAAAAAGGGAAACCATATGGACTGCCTGAAATAATATGAATGTCAGAACCAATACTGCCAAATCTGTATGGGGTCTGCATGGAATCAACAGGTCCTGAATATGAATTTAAATTTCTCACATTATTTTTCACTTCCTTTTTGGCAGTTAGATTCTTTGTAGATCCTCTGGAATAATTATGACTGATGGATTTCAACACTTCACTACTACGGATACCAGTTTGTTGAATTTCTGTTACTGGACCTGTAAATGAATCTCTTTCCAAATCAGATTCTGTCTCATTTCTCACTTTTTCTGTTTCCTTCATACTGTGAATATTATCATTCTGATTGCTTGCAGCATCTTCCTTGAAAATAATGCTGTTTATTCCACCCAGAATTTCATAACCAACATGGCTTTTGTCATTTGCTGCTGAAACATGTTCAGATTCTTTGCTTATAACTGATTGAGATTCATTAACGTTGAGAAATGATTTAACTGTGGAAGTATTTTGCAAGCTTGTAAAGTTCCTCTGTGGCATATCTGTTATCATACTGATATTTGGTTTTGAAATAAGTGATTCTGATGTAGTTTCAAATATAAAATTTTCAATTGTCAAATTAACCTGTATTTTATTATCATATGCAGTGTGATCCATATTTACATTATCTGTGCTTGTAACTTCTACATCAGAAGAATGTGCACGTTCTTGAATACTTTCTTCTGTATTTGCACCATGAGAACTTTTAATATTGTAGCTAGTGTCGCCCGTTGTTTCATTTTTACTTTCAACTAGTAATTTATTTTGTATAACTGTCTCAAGAGAACTTTCATAATCTTCATACTCACTTTGATGATCAGTGCTGGCTATCACAGTCTCATTTATATTTTGGTTATGTGGACCCACTTGAGTCATTGATTTAAGAAAGCTTTCAGTAACGGCATACTCACTATGATTGTTCACCCCAATGTTGGCTGTTGCAAAGTTCACATCAGTACTTGGCTCATAAGACTCTGCATGTGTTGTCTGCAGAGAGTTTTTGATATCTTCATACCTGCTGTAATAATTCTGGGCACTGGCTGTCACAGTACCTTCAACCATACTTCGACCATGCAAGTCTTTGTGTGTAGTCATATGAAGAGGGGTTTCAACACTTTCATATTCATTTTCACCTGTCTCAAAACGAAAGCCTTCAACTTCATTTTGTTCTTGTGATTCCTTCCATTTAGTTGTCCCAACTTGATCCATGTCTCCTTCATTTTTACTGGAGTTCTTCATGTTGATACTGGTTGTAAGAACATCAGTTATTTTCTGTTCAAGTAATGTTTCTTGTGTAGCTGAATGATAAAATTTCTTACCAGCTTCATATTCAATGTACTTATTCATATCAATACTGTTTGTTACATAATCTTCACTACTTCTTTGTTCATGTAATGTTCTTTGTGTAACTGTCTCAGAAGGGTTTTCACTGTCAATATGTTCACTGTATTTATGTATCTGAATACTAACTGTTGCCAGAAGTTCACTTTCATTTTGTTCTTGTGAGCCTGTAGCCTTTTCTAGAAAGGTTTTGCTACTTTCATATTCACTACTTATCGTCCCAAAATTATGGTTTCCTGTTTGTGATTCATTCTGTGTGGATGGTACAAAGGAGTTTTTAATACCCAGCAATTTGCTATTGTTTATTTCAGTACTGCTTGTTACAAAGTCATCTGAGGTCTCTCCTTGTGATCCTTTCTCTAGACTGCCTGTAACAGATGACTGAGTAGTACTCTCAGATTCACTGTGTGTATTCACATGATTGCTATCTGTCACAGCATCTTCAACTATATTTCCTCTTTCTACAGGTCTGTCAATAGCATCCTGGTTCTCACTACCTGGATACTGCTGACTTGTGAATATTGTGGTAACTACAGTGCTCAAGTCATCTTGCAATTCCTGTGTTTGACTCTGTGCAATTATATTGAATTTTGCCAGCTGAGTTATTTCCATTTTACTGCTTGTTTCCACTCCACTTTCTATTATGTCCTGCAAATCCTTTCCTTCATCAGAATTTCCTTTAGTATTTTGATCCCTATAATGTATTATATTTTCATTTGGTGTCTCAGACTTTTCAACTTCCAACCTGTATTTTAATTCCTCCTGTTCAGTTGTCTGTGAAACGCCATCCATATTTGGATGTTCAGAGGAACTGGCAGTAATACTGTGTGTGGTAAAATTGATATCATTCATATCTGTAGCTTCATCTCTATTTCTGTGTTGAAATTCTCCTTGTGTTGTTTCAGGCATGAACTCAGAGTGACTGGATCTTTCAGTATCATATTCATATACTGAACTATAAGGAAATGTTTTAATTTCCATTTCAGATTCAACTCTTATATTTCCTTCCACTGTAGATTCAGTAGCTATGTGATTATGATAACTGTCAACATCACTATCACTATATGTATAATTTAAAATTATTTCAGAATCTGTTACCGGTATCGTGAAACTATCAATTCTGTCACTTTCTACTAATTTCTTAGACCCAGCCCTTCCACCAAGGGGATTTGTATTTGCAAGTTTATATGTTCTATCATGATCATACTTTTTAGATTTTGAAAACTTGGGAGATTTTGTTACACGTGACATAGAGCTGAATATATTTGTAGGTTCATTTTGTGAAAATCTCCTTGGATATGTTACGCCTCCAATTTCATCATCAGATGGGATAGTATGTTCAATTACTCCAGCTCTGGTTGTTTGCCTTTCAAAATTATCTCTCTCACTTTCTTCTTCTGAGTTTTTACCTGCTAACTTGTCAGAAATTATGTCTGTATTTTCAGAGGACACATTCTTTTCTGAAGAATTTATTTGTGACATATTTTCAATTTCAGGACTTGCTGACTCAAAAGTTTCTTCTTGAGATGTTCCGTATGTCTCTTTCAATTCTGAAATAAAGTTCTTTAGAGAGTCAAACCTACTTTCAAGACTACTCACTTTGTCAGAAATTTTCTTCAAAATTTTATGACACTTTACTTCTAGGCATTTATTATGAATTTGACGCCGTTTTCTAACAAGATGGCGATAAAGTTTGGAAATATTCTGATCCACAGGGATAAACATTGAACTCTCATTCTTCTGTTTTGAAAAACCAAGTAAGGTGTTATGGTTCTTAAATTTCTTTGTTGAATTATGACCACTGGTAACTTCTTTCATAGTATGAAGATAAGTACTTGCTTCCATAGCTTCATGTTGCTGAGAAGAAGTAGCCTCTAAATTGAGTGGTACAAATGTAAAATTACTTTCATTGTACTGTATTTTGAAATCATGAATAGTATCATTATGGGTGTAATTTTCTTCAGTCCCCCATGTTGCATTGTGTGTTCCTTCTGGAGTAAGAACAGTTGTAAGAGGACGTGTACTATTTCCAGTTTTATTCCAATTTTTATCCTCATCTAGATCTCGAAGGCTCATTTTAGTCTCCAAATCACCACTAGCAGCAATGCTGTCTTTTTTATCAGTGGGATTGTAAATATACTGGTGAAAAAGGTCCATTCTGTGTTTAATATCTGAAATACAAATGGAATAGTCAATTATTACAAATCTGAATGCATAACAGACCTTATCAGTTAACATAGCAGGGAGGAGCAACAGAACTTGTGATATTTGAGGTTATACATCAGTGAAAAACTAAAAAAAATATTTATTTTTTGAGAACAGTGTGGATAGCATATTATTACT